CACGGTCCCTGATGCTTTGCCAAGCTTGTTCTAAGTAGGTGCCTTAGACCACTGAGCCATCTCTCCAGCCCTGCCTGCCTGTCTTGAGTTCAATCCCTGGAACAAAAAAAAAAAAAAAAAAATTGAGTAAGTTTTCAGGTGCTTATCTGACATTACTTTCTATGAATGTCTTTTCTGACAGATTTTTTGGAGTATCTTATAATAAAATTAGTTTTTTGTCACATAAACTGCAAATAGTTTTCCTAGTTGGTAGTTAGGCAACATTTGGAAATTGGACTTTTTTTTTTGGCGGAACCAGGGATTGAACTCAGGCCCACATGCTTGCCAGGCAAGCACTTACTCTACTGAGCCATCTCTTCAGCCCCTGGACCTTTCTTTTTTGCCTTAGTCAAACTTACTATTTTTTTGTCTTTTTGAGACAGGATCTCACCGTGCAGTTTAGGCTGGCCTTGAGTTCACTTTGTAGCCGAAGCTGGTCTTGAATTCACAATGATCCTCCTGTCTCAGCCTCCCAAGTGCTGGGTTTACAGGTGTGTGCGACCACACCCAGCCTTATTTTTGTCTTTATGACTTTTACATTTTTATTTATAAAATACTTCAATTTTTAAAGTTGCTACTGTTTTCCAATATGTTTATGGTTTTCTCTTTAAATATTCCACCCAAAATCAAATTAAGGGGCAAAAATCACCATTCTTCTTGTTCAGAACCCCCACACCAGCCCATCCTGTCTGTCTGAATGTAAACAAACACCCAGCCCTGTGTGTCCTTTTCCCAGAGAATGCGCTCTCATTTGTCCTTCCACAAGCTATATTCCTTGCACACAAACTCAAGTTCACACACTCCAGGAAGTCTTTCATGCTAATGCAGCCAGTACTTTTCTAAAGCTCATGTGATCACGTTATCTTGTATGAGCTTCCCCTTTTCTCAACTTTAACCTATTTGTGAATGAATGGGATCTTTAGAAATCTGGGTTAATCTTTCTGTCCTATTCCTGTAGCAGCTATAAGCATGCCAAATGTATTAACGTAACAGGATACAGTATTTTTAAAATTTTTTGTTCTTTTTGATGGTACTAGGGATTGAGCCCATGATAGTGCATTCAACTACATCTCCAGCCCTTTTTATAATTATTTTTGCATTTTGAGACAGGGTCTTAATGAGTTGCTGGCTTGGAATTTGTCATCCTCCTTTCTCAACCTCCCAAGTAAGTGGTATTACACGTCTGTGCCACTGTGCCTGCCCACAATTCTTTATTTTGGTGATTCTTGGAATTGAACACCACCAGTTACATCCCAAGCTTTTTTTAAAATTTTGAGATAGGATCTTGTTAAGTTGCCAGGCTGGCTTGGATTTAGGATCTTCCTGCTCTAGCCTCCCCAGGAGCTAGGATTACAGGCATGCATGTGGCACCTGACTCACAATATTTAACTTACCATTAATTGTTTGCCCGAGTCACATGCAGCTAATGAGCATCTCAAATGAAGCTGGTCCAGTGGAGATGTGCTGTAAAGTAGCAAATGCATCCCAGATTTTGCACTTAGTATACAAAAAACAAAATCCCAACTCATTTTTACTTTTTGGTGGAACTGGGGATTGAACTCAGGCCCTTGCACTTGCCAGGGAAGTGCTTATTCCACTGAGCCATCTCCCCGGGCCCTCATTTTTATATTGATGACGTGTGGAAATAACATTTTAGAGATACTAGATCATATTTTAACATTCTTAAATGTTAAAGTCTATCCAGGGTCATTCTCTATTCTCCACCCATCAAAAAGACTCATCGTGCTTAGTGTTGATGCCTAAGTTGGACTGATTTGAGAAGATGATCTTTCTCGTGATCAAAGCTATTCTTACCATCTCCAGGGCTCGTAAAGGCCATTATGCAATATTATTTACTTGATAGCAGGTTATCTTTATGAGCAATAATTATACATTTTCTTTTAAATTGCTGCAGACTTGAAATACATCAGTTTCTCCCAACAGGTCAGGTAACTGCTTAGTCAACAGAATGTGACTAGGGAACAGGTCAGATTCAGATGCCAAAGCATCTCCTAAACCTTTTAGTGGTTGAGATTTTCTTTGTTAACCATAGAGTGAGCCTCTGCATATCCCTTTGGTCACTGGGACCTTTTTGTTTTGTTGATAGGGTCTCACTGTGTAGTCCCTGCTGGTCTCAATGCACGGTGATTCTCCAGCCTCAGCCTCCCAAGTGCTGGGGTCCCAGGCATGCGCCACCACACCCCGCTCTCTGGGGTCATTTTCTGCCATCAAGTGTTTGGGACTGGTATCCTTTGGCTTTGCAGGCCAGTCTTGTAGTCAGAGTCCCTGTATTAGTTTCCTTTTACTGCTATAACAAACCACGACAGAGTCAGAGGTTTAAAACAGCACAGGTTTATTTTCTCACAGTGCTGGAGGCCAGAAATGGAAAATCAAGCTATTAGCAGAGTTATTTCCTTCTGCTATGTAAGATATTGTCCACAGCTTCCACGGATTTGTACACAGATATCTTGAGGGTCCATTACTCAACCTATTACAGCCGCATCCACATACATTTCCTTCTCTGCCTTGACAAGGGTAATAGGACAGAAAACCCAGCAGGAAAACAAGGCTGAAAGTGTTTCTAAAGTGAGGTCTTCAGAGGATGGATAAATTCATCTCTGTAATCACTCTTGAGACCATTAAACACTGGTTTTATCCCCTTTAGCTCTACATCCCTTCTTTCCAACATTGCTTCCTTTAAAAAGCAATCTAGTGCTAAGGCTGAACTCCTTAGTACTTCCTCATCCTGAAAAATTGTTGGGGTAGTAAGATGCATTCTTTCTGTAATTTTTTCTTTTCCTCATAAGTCTTGGGTCTCACATGCTACCCCGTGCTTAGTATCTCCGGAATAACAGCAGCTTACTTTTATTTAACACTGTATTCTGCAATATGCTTTCACATCTCTTATTTGGGCATGGGAAGAGAAAGTTATTTCAGTTGTACATGAGTAAACTGGCTACAAGGCAGAGAATGGACTGGATGTAGGTGGTGTAACACAGAAAGCAGCCACAAGGATGGAATGAATGGGACTTATGTGTTACTGGTAGAATTTGGTGGCTTTGTGATTATTTCAGTATGGGGACTATGAAGGAAGGGTCAACACAGGTTTTTTATCTTGAGCAATTTATTAATGCATAATACTAGGTTTGGAAAGAGGATAATGAATTTGCTCTGGGGATATGTTGAGTTTGAGATGCCTAAGGACTATTTAGGAGAATTATGATTACAAAACAGGAAAAATATTAGTCTGGAATCATGGGCCAAAGCTACCAATATATTTAGGAGCATTAGTATGTAAGTGTTGAAGATATGAAAGTGGAAGAACTCAACCCAGGAAAAGTATGGAGAAGCCTAGATGGAACCCTAAAAAAGCCCCAAAGATTCTAAGTGTTACCTATTTCTCCTTATATCAGAATTGTGAGATAACTGTTAAAAATAGAATCCTCATTATGAATGTAATTAATGCCACAGAACTGTATACTTAAAAATTGTTAAAATGGTTTTAAGTTCGGTATATTTTACCATAAATCAAGAATGCAACAAAATAGATTCCTAAGCCTCACTGCAGACCTGAATCACCACACTGGGTTCATAATTTAAAGCTTTTAAACATCTTTTTTTTTGCTCTTGAGACAGGGTCTTGCTATTCAGTTCACGCTGGCCAAGAGCTCACTTTGTAGCCCTGGCTGGTCTCAAACTCAAAACAACCCTCCTCCTATCTCAGCCTCCCGAGTGCTGGGATTACAGATGTGCACCACCACACCTAGCTTTTTAAATTTTTTTTTAAATTTTATTTATTTCTCTCTGTGTTTGTGTGTGTGTGGCCAGCTCAGCCCACCAGGGGGCGGGGCTGGCTGGCATATGGTGCTGGGGGATTGAACCGTGGTCCCTGTGCTTTGCTAAGCTTGTTCTAAGTAGGTGCTTTAGACCACTGAGCCATCTCACCAGCCCACACCTAGCTTTTTAAACATCTCTAAGTACCATGCCCAGCCTGGTCATGTTATAGACTTGACATGATCTAGAACCATAAGGTGCTTTTTCTACTAACCTTTCTTCATTTCAGACTGGACTGAAGATCTGCCCAAAGGCAGGTCCAGAAAATACCTGAGAAAACAAGATCAGATATAGGGAGTCTAGGGAACAGACACATTCCTTATTTTTTTGGTATCCAAAATCAAACTCACATTTCCTAGGCAGGAACTGTGCAATGAGCTATCTCCCTGGCCCCAAGGGATCTGACACATTCTACAGTTAGCCTCATCTCCATAATCACCCAAGTGCCAGGCATGGTGCCGCAGGCTTACAATCCCAGTATTTAGGGACAGGGGAGATAGCTCAGTTGAATAAGTGCTTGCCTGGCAAGTGCAAGGGCCTGAGTTCAATCCCCTGTTCCACAAAAAAAAAAAAAATCCCAGTATTTAGGAGGTTGAGGCAGGAGGATAGCGGTGAGTATGAGGCCAGCCTGGGTCACACAGTGAATTCAAGGCCAGCCTACACTACAAGGAGACACTGTCTCAAAACCAAAAATAAGTAACTCCCAAAAGCTAGAGATGTGGCTCAACAGTAAACCACTTGTTTAGCATGCCCAAAGCTCTGGGTTCTAATCCTCAGCACCACAAAACAATTCATCCTTCTCAGGGGTTGCCCCAAACAATGGGGACTAGATACTGATTTTTTTCTGTTGCATGCCTTGGATACTTTGCCAAAAGTTTCTTTTTTTCTTTTAATGTATCTACTACAGGATCTAATGGGTGTCACTACACAGATCACACTCCTAGTGTTACTCCTGTTTTCAGCCTCCCAAGCGCTGAGATTACAGGCATTTGCCACCATGCCCAGTCTCTGTGAGGCTTTGAAGCTGCCTGTTATAAAACATAACTGAATGTAATTCTCAGTGTAGTAACATTTTAATTTCTCTTTCCTGGTTTTTTTGCCTTATCATATCATTGCCTGCAGAATCTTAAATCTGTTCCTTTCTTTCTCTTCTTCTATCAGTGACTCAGGGATCGGATGAGTCTCCATGGTATGTTTTGCCCTGAAGAGCAGGAGGCTTCGGTTCCAACTGGTATTGCCAAAGCAGCACACTAATTCCATGCCATGATCCTGGGTCAAGATCTGTACAATCTGATTTGCCATGTTACCTCGGATGGCAAGGGAGCGGAAGTGGTCAAAATCATGGAGTCCCAGCTTTCGGAGACGCCTTGCAGCTGCCCGGTAACACTTCCAAGGCTGAGGCTCCACAAGGAGGTAGCGGCAGAGAGAGGAAAGATGGGCTAAGAATTCCCACAAGCCTTGGTCCCCATGATTCAGATGAATCCACATAGTTATCGACATGCAGAAGCCAATGTCAAAAACCAAACATCCAAATTGGCTTAAGAAAGAGCTCAAGAGAACCTTCCGGGTCTGTTGATTCATGAAGTCCAGAGTGATAAAGGTCAAGGCATCAGGAAAAGGACATTCTTTTTCAGCTCGTTCTACCAGGACTGGATCTATATCACAGCACAGGAAACGGAGTTCTCTGGAGGCGTCTGAGCAGGTCTCCCCATCATGTAGGGAAAGGAAGTGTTTGTACAGAGCCACACTCAGATCCTAGAGGAATCCAAAAGAGCTTTGTCATTGCAGTTCTCAGCCAGTGAATGGAAGAGAAAGTTATCTCACATCCTCTGAGCCTGCCACTTCACGTTTGGCTTTATAGGATGTGAAACTCCTAAACAGCAGTTGTAGTTTTTTCACAAGCAGATTCTCAGCGCCCTCCAGGGGCCACAGGCTGTAATTCATCATCCCTACATTTTCCAGATTTGGCAAAGAAGCTTCAGGCACTATTTTCCTGTGTAAGTGATATGCTGGTAAAGTCATCTTTTCCTAGGTACTACCTAAGACTCAAAGGAAAAGGAAAGGATCCAGAAGCATAATCAGTACCCCTGAACGGGTAGGTGGGAAATTTTATACCATCACCGTATGAAAACCTGTCTCTCAGCCTATGGTTGGCAAAGTGGAGTCTAAAGTTTTTCTTTCTTTTCTTTTTTTTTTTAAGGAACCGGGGATTGAACTCAGGCCCTTGCGCTTGCCAGGGAAGCGCTTATTCTACTGAGCCATCTCCCCAGCCCCTGAGTCTAAAGTTTTTAAACAGCTTTCATCCCATGGCTTTCCTTTTTATTATCTTATATTTTACCAGCTCCTGAGACATTTTTACTTCTACAGTTATCACTAATAAAGGTCACTAGTGAACTTTCTAGCCAAATCCAATAGTTTATGATTTTTTTCATATTATCATCCTTTGGACTCTTAACCCTATTTATCTCCTTTTTCTTTCTTTGGCCATTAAAACTTACTTTGTTTGCTAGGTGTTGTGGCACATGCTAGCATTAGGGAATCCTAGCATTAGGGAGGATGAAGCAGGAGTATTACTGTGAGTTTGAGGCCAGCTTGGGCTATACAGCGAAACCCTGCTTAAATAAATAAATAAATACAAACACCACCACCAACAGAAACCCCAACTTTGTAATACCAGCACTCAGGAGACTACTGTAGGAGGATCACCACAAGTTTGAAGCCCGTCTGGGCTACACTGTGAGTTCAAGACCAACCTGAACTACGTAGTGAGATCCTGTCTCAAAACAAATAAATAAAAACCCTAACTCAAATTTGTGTTGTTCTATAAGATAGTTTCCACTTTCCTGTTCATTACTTCTGCAATCTTTTGTGTGGGTGAAGAAAGGCGCAATGGAAACCATTCAGGTGTCTAACAATAGTAGTATAGACAAAATGTAGCATAGCCATGAAAATGGAACAACAAATAGTACTTTGAAATAAAAACTCAGTGCAACAACATTGATTATTCTCATAAACGTATATTGTTGGTTTAAAAAATAAAGGCTACAATAGGAAATACATGACAAGCTTCTACTTATATTAAGTCTGAAATAGGTAAAATTGAATCACATTAAGGATAGAAAAATAATAAGTCATTAAAAAATGGATGGGCCCAAAGTGCTGATCCTGCTCCTGGGGCACACTGAGACAGCAATTGAGACTGGATGTGGTGGTGTGCGCCTGTAATCCCAGCTCTTGGGAGGCTGTAAACAGGCAGGTCACTATGAGTCTGATCTAGTAGTGAGACCTTTAATACCCTGTAGACCCTTCCCTAAATACAATGAAA